GCCGGAGTGCCCTCGGTCGCTACGACCTCGGCACTCGCAGCCTCTCTACCCCTCTTACGACCTGGGGCTGCATATGGAAGAAGGAAGAAGCAAAGGAGGTAAGAGGTAGAATAAACAGGGACAAAATTGGCTCAAAGGAGGCCGAAGAAAGAGCATGAAAGAGTGAAAACTTACCGACGGCAACGATCGGCCGAGCCGACGAAGAGGATGGCACAGTCCTATGCGCCAGGGTTTTTCGCTCCCCCGCCGTAGTCGTCGCCCTGGAGGTTGGGGTCGCGGTCGAGGTCACGACCGTCTCTCTAGCCAAAGGAGGGGCTGTCGCTCTGGACACGGCTGCGACTGGGGCACTCGGCCGCGAAGGCACGGCTGTGGCCTTCTTCCCTTTGCCAGTCTTGGGAGGGAGGGGGTCCCAGTCTGCATTCTTCAGCGCCCCCCTCATGGCCTCTTCAACAGGCCGAATAAATCTGGCCGAGACGCACTCCTCGTACTAGACCCTTCCATCCTCATCATACGCATTATGGCGCAACCAAGGCGTCAGAGTGAGGAAGGTCATCCCCTTTTGGAGCTGGAAGGAAATGCCAGCCACGCCGTGCTGCTGGGCGACGTCGGCCCTCCAGGACGAGAGCCGGTTGACTGACAACGGGGGAAGCGAGGCCGTCTGGATCAGGCCGAATTGCCGCGCCACGAAGTTTGGGCGAGTGGTCTTTATGGAATTCCATAAGAAAGGACAGATCGTTTGCCGAAAAAGGGGGGTCCCTTCCACGGTAGATGTCGATGATACCCTCGTCTGTTCTTTCCAGGGCCGCGGCCTTCGGATGAAACAAAATGGCCGCCGTTCCATGGGGACTCTCGTCCTGCCTAGGGCGCCACGTTCTTGGAGGCTTGGTACTGGCCGCTTTTACCGCCGAGGGGACGATTGGGGTGGATGGGGTCCCGTCTGCAGCTGCCATTTTCTTTTGGTGCTTGGAACCTTCGGCCTCGGTTGCCTGCATTCTAGCTTGCTGAACTTGTCTCTGCATTCTCCTCAGCTGGGTTTTTGTCAGTGGCTTGGCGCTGCCCCCAG